CGGCCCCGCTCTCCCCGGCTGGCCGGAGCGCCGGGGGAGGGCGGCCCCGCTCTCCCCGGCCGGCCGGAGCGCCAGGGGGAGGGCGGCGAGCCCACTGTGGCTCCGCTCTCCCCGGTGAGTGCCGCCCCCCTCCAGGTGCCGCCCCAAGCACATGCTTGGCAGGCTGGTGCCTGGAGCCGGCCCTGCTCAGGAGAAGGCCAAAAGAGGCATTCTTAAAAATGGGGACCAGTGTAAAAGAATTAGTGACTAAAGGAACCCTAGTTGAACTCTAGCTATTGTGAAAATTTAGACCCATAATGTGTCTTTTTCCTTTTATCTTTTACTGTAATTATATCACGTTCCCCATCCTGTTGAGTCTCAGATTACACCACTTCTAAAGGTATGTCTACGCTGGATGCTTTTTTCGGCAGCATGTAGAGTACCTACATGGGTAGCTCCACCAGCACAATTATAAATAGCAATATAGATGATGAAGCATGGCTTAGGTGATAGAGTACAGGCATGCCTGAAAGGTACCCTACATGCTGCCGGATCCTTTTATATAACGTAATGAATAATGACCATGTAACTAGTGTAATTTTTGGCAATAGCAATATTTAAAGACCAGTCACAAGACAAATTATACTAAACAAAGCTGCACTTATTATCCTGATACTAAGTTCTTGCTAATCTACATCAATTATAAACTTCTTGTATAAATTCATACATTACCTGGCTCACAGACTGGCAGTACTTTTTCTCCCTTGGAGTTCTTCCAGTATCCATCAGCACCACACTGGTATCTACCTGAATGTCATAGAAAAGGCAAAAATACAAGAATGCACATGTTAAGTGGCCATCATGTTTTTAAAGCTCTGCCTCTACGGAACATGGCTGTATCTGACCATAGGACCGAGTTTTTCAATTCTCAGAGTTCAGGTCCTAATACCCTCTTAGGTTTTGTGAATTCCTATGTGAAGGTGGCTCTGTGCATTATCCCTCTCACTAACTGGGCTGTGAGATGTGCGAGGTCAGGGCATTATGCAGCATAAGTATCCTACCCACTTGTAAAGTGGCACCTTCAGATGTGACTTGAATGTAAATTCCACACCCTGAAGAGTAAGGGAATGTATGAAGTGTTAGGTACATTAATTAAATCCTCTGAAACAGATCTTTTGTCGCACTCCTCACATAAGGATCGTTTCTTAAATCAAAGATACACAATGTTTTTGAGATCAACATTAAACTAATCTTGAATATAATATTTTAAGGCCACGTTCTACTGAGCTGAATGTATTGCCTGTACATGCTACTGCACCATCCCGCATTCACCAGCTGCAGAAGAAAAATACTGTCTTGAACCTCTTAGTCAAAGTGACTGGCTGAATTTTTTGCGCCCCATGACTGATTTCTAAATGTTATTGCCTAATGCAGGGCCTGGACCTGGGAGGTGCTGAGCACTGATGTCAGGAGTTGCTTGTTCTCAGCATCTGAGGATCAGGCTGTAAGGAATAATGTCTCCCCTTACCATTACTTGCTTTCATAGTGTAGAAGGTGCTCTTGCATTCGTACTGAATCTCAGCTTTGTAGGTGGTCACCTCTGGTCCTGTGATGTAAGTAACCGTGCCGTTGTCTATGTCTTCAGGTTGACCACAGTTGACAACTGAAAACAGTTCCAAAAGACAGAATTGTGAAAGGTTCTTCTAATTACCAACGTAAAAATGGACTGCAACAGTCAACCCAGGAGGGTAGGAGCTGATTGGCTCCTACCCCTGTTAAGAGTGTGGCATGGGAGGAAGTTTGCTGTCTTCATGTCCTATTATATGGTGGCCGTCTGAGACAGGAGATAATCTCTGTAACTCCTTAGGATGCACTTTGAAAACTGCTTAAAGGGAACCTTTAAAACTAAAGACAATTAAAAAAAATAAAGAGAGTGGCCCTTTTCAGTGTTTGTGCATCGACTCTTGAGTGCTGATCTGCAGAGAGGGAACGGTGCAAGACTTGTTTTACCCAAGATTTTTCCTGGGGGTGGGGGAGGAGGTTGGGTGGTGAATACGAGGGAAAGTCTGGGTCAAGTGGAATTATTGGACTGTAATGCAACCAGACACACACATTTTTATAAAATTAAAGTTAAAGGTTGCACTTTTGGGTGCTGGAAGCAGTTACGCCCAAGGAAACAGATGTGCATTCTAATCTAGACCAGATCTACTATCTAAAGTATGTCGTACTGCATGTTGTTCATATAGGTAATTGTTATGACCCACAGCCCAGAAGGAAGTATGGATAAATCTAGAAGTTATACTACCAGAGAATTCTATGATTCTTATAGGGGAAGAGACTATGCCTAATAGTTATTAGAACAAGAGACTGGGAGGTAGGATTTCAGGGTTCTGTTCCCACGTGCTAGTGACTTGCTTTGTGAGCTATACCAAGTCCCTTTTACTTCACTGTGTCCCCATTTACCCACCTACAAAATGGGCATGTCACTACCTACAGTACCACCTAGGTGTTGTGAGGATTTGAACTTACTTAATATAAAGTAGTTGTAATTTGTGGGGGGAGGTATTGAACAATTGGAATAGTTTTCCCTCTATGCTATGCCCTCATAAGTTTCTGGATACTGTAGTGTAGTTTCCAAGTAAACTAACTTGGTGTTGCTACCATCGTTGCTTTTTAAAACATGCTTTTAAGGAATGGTGGAAAAAATGAAGACAGCTTCCAATTTTTAAATATGAAATACAATTGTAATAATAAAAGGGGTGACTTTTACGCAACTAAAAAAAAACAAAAAAAAACCGCAAGTCTATATTGCCTCCTACATCTTGGCACTTATGAAGGTAATTTTATATTCTGGGTTTGACAGGAGAATTAAGACATTGGTATACTGCAAAGTTGAAGACAATTAGCGTTGACTTACTGATGCACTTTGCCATCGGTTTGTTCCAGGAACCACTTTTTTGACATTCTGCTTTAAAAGACTTTAAAACCAGTTCATTCTGCAAGAGGAAAATAGGAAATGTATTTATTTCTCTAAAATGACTAACTTGACTTTATTAATAATCATGATGTTGCTTATTGGGAGAATGTGTCAGTTAAATATAGAGTTTTAGCTCACTGATATGGAATGAAAAATATGCATAAAACAGATTTAGATAGGTTTGTGATGCTATTCTCAGATGTCCTACTTTGTTCTTAAACAGTAGATGTATCATTTTAGTGAGGAGAAAAGGTATTTCCTATACTGCACTCATCTTGGATACAAACATAACCTTTCTTACCACGATTTGGTGGAATAAGTGAGGGTAACTTAACACTTCTGGATATTTGTTTTGGAGTGGCAGTTCTACCCACTTATGCCTGCTATGTGCTCCTAATGGTTAACAATGAAGATGGCTAAAGTAATATAAAAATATTTCAAGTAAGAGCATGCTGTATCCTCTGGATTTTATCTATTTCAGTACATGAACACGCCTTTTATTGCATCTCATTTTCATTATTCATTTAAACTAACAGAACTCAGATGCATTTAGTTACCCTGGGTCTGTACATGAACAACAATGTCCTCAAACTGTCAAAAACAGGACAGATTCTAGAATCTTAGTGAATGTATAGAAAATGGAGAGAAAACTATTAATGTGGGGCTAGTACACTTTTTATATTGATCATGAAGATAAGCCAGTGTGAAACGAAATAATAAAGGCCAAATTGTGATCTCAGAAGCTTGCTCTGAGTGGGTGCTGTATTTGGAATATCTTCAGAAATTACCTAATAAACACTGAAGTTGGAATGCTATAGGAATGAATATAAAATGTCTTCCAGTGCAGCAATAGAGAGCAAACATCTAGTTTTAAAAACTCTCTCTGCAGAGATGTAGTAACAATTTAAAGAACTTAATGGAACAGAATGATTTTTTTAAGACACTATGGCAAATGTTTTTAAAGTTATTCTCTAGCTCCCAACTCAATTACAGACAAATCTATAAGTGATGGCGGGAGAGCTTCTAAATCTGGACACTAAAACTTGTTTGGGAAAGGACAATTTCGGAAGGACCACAACTGCACAATAACTAATTGTGTGTGTGTGTGTGTGTGTGTGTGTGTGTGTGTGTGTGTGTGTGTGTGTGTGTGTGTGTGTGTGTGTGTGTGTGTGTGGTTGATGTACCCACAATTACACTAGGAGCAGCACAGAAGTTAAATGACTTTGTACAGTGGCTAACTGGAGAGAAACACATTTAATTCCACAAATTAACCTCCCTAGGGAAACCAGAGAAGGAGGAGCTGTAGTTTACCTACTTCCAACAGCACATATCCAGTATCACAGGATAGAGTATAGTAATCTTTCAGGATGTATTTTGCTTGCACTGGATTGATGCGACCATGGGGTGGTGCTTTAGGACTGGGGCATGGCAAAGCTGTGGAGGGATGGAAAACAAAACATTATCCTTCCTCCTAAAGCAGATTCTAATCTTTGTTTCTAAATCTGCTGTTAGAAAACCAAATACGACCTTTTCCCCTCACAGCATAACTAAGACCAAAAGGAAACATTTAATAGAGAAATGTGTAAACTTGCTGCGTTGTACTCATGACCAATGGCTGGGTCACACAGGACTGACTAGTCTTCCCGAAGCTGTGGAGTGAAGGGCATCTCTATAGCCTAGACATCAATTCATAGTTCTACCAAGCGGGGTGCTTGTTTCTTAAAGCCAGAGCCAGGCCAGACAATTCTGACGCTAGACCCAAGGAGAATCTCACCATGCGCCGTTGTTCTGGCTCTCCTCGAGGGGTTTTACATTGGTTAATGAAGCAAGTAAAAACTAAGTATGAAAGCAGTTTAGAACGGTTTGCTTGCTGTGCATGCCTCACTGGAATGAAGTCCTGGGAGTGCTCTGCAGCTGAAAATTAAGTAGGAGGAAGTGTCAGAGATGCACTATGTGGTAGTGTAATGGAGCAGTAGCAAACAGCACTGCATCAGTCACTACTGTGCTGTTCACCTTGGCCTTTTGGGACTTCACACTGATCGAAATTCTCCTGCTCCAAAAGTGCAAGCCCTTACTATTTGAGCTAAAGGAGAATCACTGTTGAGCAGCATTGAGCCGATGAGATGCAGTTGATTCTATCCAGTATAGAGAAGTGGCACACTTACACAATAACCAGTTCATTACATGATCAAGCTTCTGATGCAGCAGGAAGTGCAGGTTAGTTTAAAATGAGTAGCGTGGCAATAGTGTCAGTGAAATGGATCTCACAGAAATACCCTTACTACTGATCCTAGCCAAAAAGGTGATAGACTGAGAATGTAGCCAGAATGAATATGAGCATAAAGAAATTCGGCTCTGGAAGCAGCATCAGCAGCCCTGCCTCCTACAGAAGAGCTAGATTTACAAATGGCAAGAACTGAGCTACCCACCTGTTGTAGTGTATGAGATCTTCCAACCAGTGTGGTCTCCGGAGATATCCGTGGTGAAAGTAATATCCACAACATTGCTGCCTGTCTCAATTTTTGGAGGTACTTTCTGCCCACAGAACGGGCCATATTCCTTTTTGGGTGTTTTAATCTGAAACAGTGAGAAGAGTCAGACAACCGTGCTTCACCCATTCCAGGGTACTCAGATCATCTAAGGAGCATACAACTTGACCCACATTCACAAAGGGTGAAATTCACCCTTGTTAAGTTCACCATTGTGTAACATCACAAAGCCTGCACACCATTCCAGACTCCGAGAAGGGTGCAAGTGGAACATAGGCCTCGTGCTGGCTCCTCTGCACACGGGTTGTATATGACACCCAGGTAGGAACTGTGCAGACCTCTAGCTGTGGCTCTCTTAGGGGATAAGTTTTGTTAAATGTTCACTAGAAACAAAGCTATCGTTATTTTGATTGATGACAAGTCATCAGTAATTGCATATCGAGCATCTTTCATCAAAGCATCTCAAAGTGCTTTAGAAATATTATTAAGCCTCACAACATCCTCATGAGGTAGATATTATGTCCATTTCACAGGGAGGCAAGCTGGCACTACAAGAGGTTAAGTCACTTGCCTGAAATCACACAGTGAGTTTAGGGAAGAGCTTAGGATAGAAGCCGGGAATCTTGCTTCCCAATCATCTTATGAAAGTGTATTGTTCTTGGTGACGTTCCCAAACAAGAAAACCTTAAAGGGCAAGGGATAAAGGGCACGATTTGAGGAAGCAAGCCACGAAGGCTGTGAAGAAAAAACAATGAGACTCAACAGACCTTAAGGGCATCATAGGGGCACACTGTTTCCACGTGACTTTCCACGTTAAAGGTTTCCACAAATTCCAGGATGATCATGAAGCCATCTTCCACCCGGATAGTGTAGCTGCAGGTGGAGAGTTTGGGATAAGGCTTGGGATAATTGGGGCTGGTGATCACTCCAGATCTCTTAGTAAAAGCATTGTTTTGACACTGAGCTAGAAGAAGAAAAACAAAAATGGTAACTGATAATTTCCCCTAGAGCTGCATTTCCTCACACAGTAGGAATTGCAAGGCCTCTTCTACACTAGACTCTCTTCTGGAGAATAATTTTCAAATCATTGCTTAGGACACAAGGGAAACAAATTGTGTATGTGTGTGTGGTGGGGGGGGTGCTTACAGAGGTCCCTAGTCTGGATTTGTCCCTGTTGCAAAAGTCACTAGATCTATCAGTGACTTTGGGACATAGAGGCCCAGCACCATACAGCAGTTCTGTCTCAAGAACGGTACCTTGACACGGGCCGGGATTGAGTGGGAAGAAGAGGAGGAGCCAGAAACGTAATAGCCAGGGTGTTGCAGGTCAGAACTAAGAGGCACTAGTAGGGCTGTGTCAGTCCAGCAGTGGCTGGCTGGGAAATATTAGAATGTGACAGAGCTGGGATGCAGGCAGGAGTGAAATAGAGAATCTGTACGTCAGGGCTGCTATGCCCCAGCAACACTGTAAGCTGCTAACCGCCTGGCTTTCCTACTGTAGCCAGACTCTGCATGGTTCTAGTCAAAGCTATCAGTCCCTCACTTCCAGAAGCCTCACAATACATCTCATCCTTCTTCCTTTGCCAGAGATTTAAGATACTTTATTCTCTGGGCAAAGCCAGCTGTGCCCCTTGGAGCCACAATGCTTCCTGCTAAAGAGAGACAGGGAGGAACAACCACAAGGCTGTCTGCTTGTTGATTGCTGCGAAGTGGTGCTTTGATCAGCTGGGCACCAAAGGTTTATGATGTGCTGCCAAGAGTCAGATGAGCAGCTTCCTTTAATTAATAGGAAATGATGGACCAGTTGCTAAATTTGGCATGTTGTTCAGTCTGTAGCAGCACTGGTAAAGCTAAATTAATTATAAAAGGGAAAACTATTTAGCTTTTTAAACATATCCTTAGGCCCACAATGCTAATCCCTGTCAACAAAAATGCCATCACAGCCCCCCGCCCCATTACTAAACACATTCAATGCTCTAAAACAGAACTTTCCTATGGGTTGCCTAGTTAAAGGGCAAGCTTCTCAGGGTAGGGACTGTCTATTGTATGGTGTAGAGCATGTTCATACCACTTAAAAAATTCTCATTTCCTATGGTAAAATTGTGGGCTCCTCTTATTTTGGAGAATGAAACCTGTTCTCACCTGACCCTCAATTATACAACAATCCTGTCTGCTGATGTTCAAATGTACATTGTAAGCTCTTTGAGGCAGAGATCATATGTTTGTTATGTGTTTGAACAGTGCCTAGCATACCTGCGCTACCACACTACAAACAGTAACGTGCTTTGGGCTCTGCTTACATTTCTTTTAGAGAGGTAGTATCCTTCCAGAGCAAGCTGAAGTTTCAGAACCATAACTCGGAGCAGCTTTCCTGGAGCAGCTCTGAGCAACTACATGAACCTATTTATCACCATGGTACCTGAGCATCAGAGTGCATTGTATTTCAACCTTGCCACCCAAACAAACATACAGATTGTTAGGCTTTTTGCTTTAATACCAGGCTCCTCTGTCATGGAAGCTGAACACACTCTCAATTTTAAAGTCCTGGCCGAAGTGCCCATCCCGCCTGCAGAGTGCATTTGCTTTTGCCCTGAAGGAGTGAGAAAGTTCTTTGGTGCACTAAAGTGCCAGGAGTTTGGCAGCTGAGTCTGACTCTGCTCTTGCAGCCCGCTGCTCACTTCATTTCCTGTAGCTGGTATAAAGGAATCAGTGGAGCTATGTTAGATGTTGACACCCATCTCTTCCTCCCACTTCACACGCCAGGAGAATAATTGGCAATTGCTTTTTTCTTTAAGTCACTGCACATTTTTTCCCCACTAAATGGATGGCCCTGTAATTCTGTGGTCTGTCTCTCAATGTACTGAAGCCTTTGGTGAGTATTAGAGAGAAAACTAGGGCCCCATGATGCTATTAATCTTCTGTGATGTGCCTTCCTGAGCTATTGATGGTGTTGCTTACAGTATTGATTGGGAGACTTTGGGGTCCTTGCTTTGCCCTTAAGAGCTTGGTGGAAAGTAGCATGACCACATCCTCACTTTCATCCATTGCAGGGCCAGAACAAGAAGGAAGTCCTATTCAATACAAAACATCTAACTCCTTCCTGGTCACAAACAAGGTAGTGGAAAATTGCTTGCTCTCCAAAAACTACATTTCCCTTGTATCACAAGAGGCTGGGCTAATCCTATCACCCTTATGAGTGGTCATAAAACAGGTGGGAGCCAAGGGGCAGTACCCTTCTAGCCTGGAGAATGAGACAGTGCCTGTTCTAGTACCAAAGAGCCAATATTTTACCTACACAAGCCTTCACCCATGCCTTGCATCTACTGCATAAATTAGGAATACCTGTGGAGGCGAGAGTGTGGGACAGGGCCATCTCTGTTACAATGACCTCTGTGCTAGGTTACTTGATCTTGGCTTCCATTTATTATACATGGAAAATTATATACTATAGTTATTGTAATCATCATATATATTTATATTTAAAATACTGAGATTAGTTAGAGAAGAGATTAAAGGGCAACATGATAGAGAAATCCAAGATAATGAATGTTACAGAAGTGGTCAGTTGGGCTCCCATATTTTGTGCATATATTACCTATCACCAAAGACTACTTACTTTCTCTGATAATACAAGAACAAAGGCACACCTACATGAAATTAAGGGCCAAGAAATTTAAAATCGGATACAAGGAAATACTTTTTTTTAAATGTTGCATATAATTAGGGAATGGGTAATGGGGTGGATCACTTGATGATTACCTGTTCTGTTCATTATCTCTGGGGCACTGGCATTGGCCACTGTCAGAAGACAGGATCCTGGGCTAGTATGACCGTTCTTATGTTCCCTGTGGAACTTGCTGACACATGATGTTAACAAAACTAAGAGTTTAGTGGGATAAAAGCAGACTAGACAATTACAGTTACACTAACTAGGATCAAAGTGTCTAAGGGGGATCAACACAGGACATAAGGCAGCCACCATTTAGGGTTAGGAAGGAACAGCTCACAGAGGTGTATTTCAGAACCGTTGATTATGAGGGATTTATACCATTCTCTGAAGCATTTGGAACTGACCATTATCAGAGACCAGGCACTGAACTAGATGAACCATGGGTGTGACCCAGTAAGGAAATTCCTATGTTCCAGAATTGCCCCAAAAGTGTTAATCTCCTAACATAGCACAAACAAGAGGTTTGTGGAGAAGCTCTTTGGGGCAGGAACAGTCTATTTGTACTGTTCATACAGCGCCTCGCACAATGGGCTCCTGGTTTGTGACTGGAATCCCTCAGTGCTGGCACAATACTAATAAGAAGAGGAAAGTGCAGACAACTCACTAATTCAGAAAATGGGTCCTCAATCTTAACCTTGTTCTGAAGGACTGAGGAAGGGCAAAGATGGAGGCTAATTCATTCTTCATGCTCACTTAAACCTGGCTCCTTTGAGCCAAGAGTGTCCATTGAGACTCATTGTGGTTGGTGGTTTTGCAACAAGACCATTTGGGGACATGTGAGCAGACACCAATAAACCCTCTTGATGTGTAGCCACAAGCAGCGGCTAAAACCAGCTGACCAGACAGGAACAGACCAAGAGATTTGCCTCATGCCAGACCAAGAGATTTGCAGCTTGAAGATGAAACCCTTTAGGACCTGTTCTACTTTTCTATTCAATATCTCCTGGATGTGGCCATGGGGAGCTGCCTTTGAAAGGGCTGTATTTTTACTTCACAGATCTGCAAGTGAGAAACTCAAACTAGCCAACACAAAAAGGATCATATAATGTTCAAACAGCTCTCAGCAGGAATGCAGAGCCTGGGTTTCTCAGACCAACCTTTAGAGCTGCCCAGAGAGCACGCCATTATACTTAGCCCATATTTTTATTCGAATCACAGTGAGCTGTTTGCCAGAGACTTGAACTCTGAAAAATTAGCCCCTCTAAACTTGTGAGCTCAGAGCCACTGGCTCAGGTTTCTAACAAAAAGCGGGTCATAAATCGTGCCATTGAGCCACCAGAAAACTCTCAAGCTGCTATAAGCATGGAAGCCAACAGAACTACTGTGAGCATGAAGCAGCCTTCAAAACAAGATCAAGTACATCAGGGCAGAGCCTTCCTACCCATGAAAGAGCTAGTCAGTCTGAGATTGGCACTGTGATCTCTGTCTAGGTTTGAATATAGCCTTCATCACCAGAGTATCTAAGCGCTTCACACTCATGGTGCGTGGGCGGGGGGAGGGGGGGTTACTCTCACAACATCCTTGTGAGGTAGGGAAGTGGTGGTGTTCCCATTTTACAGATGGGGGACTGAGGCACAGGGTAGATTAAATGACTTGCCCAATGTCACACAAGAAGTCTGTCCCTGAGCCGGGACTGAGCCCAGGTCTTCCAAGCCTGTGTCTGATGCCCTACCTATTAGAGCATCCTTCCTCCCAGTCTTTGCTTGGAACAGGGATTTGGGGTATGCATGAACGGAGCATAGAAAAGTAGAGATTGGAGTAGAGGCTTGTTTTAAGTGTCTCCCCGCCTTTTTGTTTGTTTGTTTGTTTAACTTCAGCAACGAAGAGGCTCCACGGGCATTAAACTATCTTTGGGCTCATGAACTTACTGAGCTTTTTTAATTTATCTTCAGGGGGATTTTCCTGGAGCCTCTCAGTTCCACTAGTGAATGTCCCACTTGCAGCCAGAAAACAGGGCCTGGAACCTGGCCAGTGAACACCCCATTGAGGTTACCTAGCCAGCTCCTGTGTTACCTTGAAACAGGAGAGGGAGGCATGGATCGATGCTATGGGGACATTGGTGGAGACTGCACCCCAGGAGTTCACCTGGCCGCGACTGTGCCACTTATAAAGAAGGAACCAGGCACTGGATGGAGCCACTTATTTAAAACCACCTCTTCACTCTGCTGTATCCAGGATACTATCTTTGTCAATGGCAGACAGAGGACACATGTGACCTCAGCTGAGCTGCCTTGTGACTACATTTGCAGCTCTGGATCTGTCAGACAAGAGATGGGGCTTCCTTTCCACGCCCAGCGGAAAAACACCGCTCCCCCAAAGCTGCCTGCTTTGCTTACACTAACCGCTTCATTATTTTCTTTAGCGAAGCACCAGGAGCCCTTTGCAGAGGGCTCACCAGATCGGACCATAATAACAGGGTTGGGTTTCCAGTGGGAGATGTGGCTAAAGTCATAAAGTTTGGGCCCAGGTCCAGATTTTTCCACAGTGTCAGCATGCTCAAAACTGGGGCTTTGGGCTTGTCTGAACACAGACCCGAGGTTCTCTCTTGGAGTCTGAACAGATCGAACTTACCAAGTGTTCAAACCGGGGGAGGAGTTCAGGCCCTGTTCTAGTTCAAGCACTTTGATCAGTCAAGCAAGAAAAGCCATGGGCTTAACACCAGAGGCAGTCCCATCTCTAGGTAGCAATAGAACGGCTCTCTCTTATCAGCCTCTGCCTTATCTGCCTTCTCCCTTCCTCAGCAGCACATGGCAATGCAAAGAAATGATGGGGAGGCTGCAGTTGACTTTAGGAACAGGAAAGGCCATTTTATTGTCTACAGGAGGCAGGTCTGAAAGGAAGGAAACCGAGATATGCGCAAGTCACTAATCAAACAAGCAAGCGGAGCTGGTGGCCCTGTGACATGCAGCTATGGGCAGGTCAGGAAGAAGGACGAGCCAGCTCTTCCCAGCACATCTGTCTTGATCTCTGCCTATGCGAGGAGAAGCTTAATTATCTCAACACTGGAAAATAAAGGAGAAAAAGAGTAAATGAATAAGAGGGCGGCAGCCACAACTCAGCCTTTCCAGAGCGGGCCCAAAAACTCAAAGGGGCAGCTTCAGTAGTCAGCATGTTTCCAAACAGACCTTTGGAGTCTGAAGGATGGAATGAGCTCAGCGCTTGCCGCTTTAAATCAAGATGGGAGATTTGCTTTAAAACAACAACAACAAACCCAGCCCCCCTGCTGTTACAAGCCCCAGTGATGGGAAGAGGAAAAGGGACTGGGGCAGCAGGCAGAAGTTACCAATGCACTAGAGATATGCCCGAGTCGCAGAGTCTGGCTCCCACATCGGACCCAAACATCCCCCCCCAATTTGTGCGTGTTTGCAATGGGCTGGACTGAAACGCTAGATCCAGAGACAGGCTCGAGCTTCAGAGTTTAGATATAAATCCACAGCGAAGTGGTGGAAAAGCTGGCCCTGCTGTGTCGTTCCACACCAGCCTCGACCAAGTACAAAGTGGCCCCGGTTCTCCCCAGGCTCAGGAGAGCGAAGCTGCATGCAGCAAGGAGGAGGCTGGCGCCAGGAATCTGCACGTTTTGCTGCAGGCAGAACCAAGCCCAAAGTGGTGATCAGTGCACTGATTCAGAGAGACATTCACTCCTTATTGTCAGATCATAAACCTTCCTTCAGCAGCACGTGCAGAGCAGCAGAGACAGCCAGCAGCTATTCTCCTTTTGAACTGGGAATCCGCTGTCACTCGTCAGCAGATTGTTCCTCCTCGAAGCAGCCCCGAGCTCAGGTCCCGAAGCGCCAGAAGACTCAAAAGTATTATCCATCGCAGCACTCGGAAGGCAGGAGTGCTGGCTGGAGGGGCTGGGCTGGCAGCCCTGCAGACTGAAGGTCTCCGATAGGAGCAGCCACGGGGCAGGCTTCCTTCCTCCAGCCAACATGACGAAAACCTACCCTGGAGGGATGATTTCTGGCAGTGACCGGAACCGTTCTACCCTCCACACGTAGCCAAGCACTGGCCTCTCTTCTGAGACTGCTGACACCAGGGCTGGTGAATGCCAGGGGCGGGATGGGATGCCTGACCTGCAGGAGCTAGAGTGAGGCTCCCCTGTACTCTGCCATCAGCTGAGGAGTGTGTGCACTGACTCACACCCTGCACCATCAGGGTGATGTCAGCTGGCCTGCAGGGGCCGTAAGCCAGCTCTGAACTTGCCGCGGCGTGTGGGTTGCTCACTGACCTGTCGTCTAGAGGGGGAGAGGGACTCCTGTTCTGACGGGGAGGGGGCAGCCCACCCTGCGCATGGACAGACTCACCTGTGCAGGTCCTCTTGTTTTCATGGAGGACGTAGCCAACCCTGCAGCTGCAGTAGAAGCCACCCAAGTAATTATGACAGTGATGGTCACAAAGCGGTTCGTCGTCAATCAGCAGCTCACACTCATCAACATCTAGTGGGTGGAAACACAGCAGCATTAACTTGACTTCACTGGGTGGGGGGAGCTCTGAGCAGGACTGAAATGGGAACTGGGGGGAGATGGGAACAGAGCAGGGACATGTTTTTGGAAACTGACTCGATACCCTTTAAACATGTGTGTGTGTCTGTCTGGGCCAGGCTGGTGTTTCTTGGTATTCTTTGTAAAACATAAAGGTGGGGCTTTCAGAGGAGCCTAAGCCAGGCAGGGGCCCAGTTCCCCCAGGAAGCGAATGGGCCTGGTGTTTCTGAATCACTCTGGGGCTTTTCAAACACACTTCTCCTCCCACTCCCTCCACTTAGCTTGTACAGTTGGAAGATCCCCTGCTCTAGGCACCATATGCAATTCAAAGCCAAACACCCACCACAATCTGACAGCTTGTGAAGGAGCATACAGGGGATTCCCCCTTCCCCAGACACCAGCTCCGCCTGGCGCGCTGTGACAGCGCCGTCTTGCACAGTGATTACTGATGCCGGCTTTGTATTCTGATTTCACACGAATTCCTGCCGTACTCCATTGTCCTAGGAAGAATCTACCTCCTAACATTTTGCTCTCCTCCAGCGCTCTCAAATCCTTTACAGACATTAATTAACCAACACAGCAGCCCTGGGTGGTAAATGGGAGTCTCCCCATTTTGTCCGTGGGGGAAGAGCAGGTTCAGAGATAGGAAGGAACTTGCCCAAGGTCACACAATGAGACAGTGGCAGAGTTGGGGATAGAACCCAGATGTCCTGAGTTGTAGTCACCTACTTGAGTCACTATCTGTAATGAATACAGCTGTTCCTAATCCATTCGCTAGTAGCAGCAGGCAGAATCTCCATCCGCCTGGGAAGCCCAGCCATCTCCTTTGGCCAGCCCCTGGTGCTAGCAGCCAGAGTCTGCGTGAGGCCAAGAGGGTTGCTGGCCCTAGTGTAGTTCTCTACCCCTTCTCCTCACTGCGGGGCCCATCTCTCACCTTCAGCTGCATAGAAGGCCTCGAAGCCAGTGAACGGGTTCTCGTTGGAGTAGTCGGATCGGAATGTCACAGTGAGGGTGTTGTCAATGGAGTGGTACGTCCTGTTGCCCGGAGCCTCCTCGGTGTCTGTGCTCTCATGTCCACACAGCGTGGCTACCAGCTTCCCGGCGGAGCTGATCTGCGCAGGGGATGCAGTCACGTCTACGCTCAGCTACAGCCTCTATTTCCACGCCCGCCCCCTACCCAGTGCATGGAGCCCAATCAGCGGGACCAGGAGCAGGTTCTTGTGCAGGGGCACACCCAGCTCCCTCCCTAACCATGGTATGCTCCATTGGCAGCTCCATATAATTATCTCCACCCCTGCCTGCTTCCAGCTTGCCTTGATCCCCCCCCCAACCTTTCAGCTGTGGCATCTCCCCCTCTGCAGCCTCAGAAGCCTGACCAAGCAGGGATAGAGGGACTGGAGATTGCTGGAGAGGCAAGAAAAGGAAGGAAGAACCATGACAGACACTAGCAAGAGCAGCTTTATCTTGTAGCCAGGGCTCCACAGGACCCTGAATGAATCAGCGCATCCACCATGTGCCCTGGTCACGTGCTCTCCACTTTGCTGGCAGAGCTGAGGCTGAAGGTCCCCTGCTCCTGGCGGACTTTCCACCACCAGGAACAATCAGAGGGTTTAGAGATTACAGCATTCTCAGAAGTACATTTGTGATGAAGACCATCCATCCGGATTTGGTTATACAATCGCGGATATCACATTACATGGTGGGCAGCGATTTCCCCACACCCTGACTTGCCCCCCATTCTCCTCCCCTCCCCTAAATCCTTGGCTGTAAAGCTCATTGCCTGAACCCTCCCTTCCCCCCCAACACACACACAAAGGCACAAGGCCAGCTTGGGCCACCAGCCCAGGGTTCTGTTTGCTGTGGGTTTTGTTCCTGTTTGCTTTCCCCTTTGATCCTATGTGGGAGCAATCCGCGGGGCTATGGCCAGTCACAGGCGAAAGTAGGGATTAGGGTTAAACGCAGGTTAAACACACACAGCTTTGAATTTACAGTAAAGCCCTGCTGAGCTGGGTCTCTCCATTCCCACATTCTCTCTGATGCAATGTTTCTTGGTGGGAAACACCCACTGGATTCCCCGAGTGTCCCTCTTCCCTGGCCCCATGTCCCTGAACGTTTTGGACGCTGCTACTAGGCCAATTTTGATAAAAAGGATTTGTGCTGCCCCTGGGGGCGGGGGCATGAGAGCTCATGCACACAAGTTCTAGCAGCGGGTAAGAGGCTGAGCAGTCTGACCAACAGGGTGCAGCCTCAGAGGAAGGCGGTGAAAAGCACTATGGCCTTAGAGCAATGGTTCCCAAACGTTAACAAGCCGCGAACCCCTTTCACTAAAATGTCAAGTCTGGTGAACCCCCTCCTAAAAATGAATATTTCCAGGGATTTTCTCCCTTACCTCAGCAGCAATTATAAAAGCAGTGATCTTGGAAATATAAAATTTGTTTTTATGACATGCTTATTACACATCATTTATTAACTATGATTTATCATCACAGTATTTTTATTACATTAGGAAAATGGCAACACTCTTCCAAGATCTCACTTGTGTAGCCTGTATCACTTTTGATGCAGCCTGTTATAAGACAAGGCTCCTATCAGAGGCGCTAGTAGAAAAAAAGGTTGCGGGGGCAAAGCCCCTGCGCACCCGGGGTTCTGGGGGGGACACCTGCCAGAAAAGTGGGGGGGGGCTGCTGGAAAAAAAGGGGAGGGAGCTGCCGGGGTGGTGGTACAGACATGGGGGCGGCATGTGACCCTCATCACCCCCCATACTGGTGCCTCTGGGTCCTATGTTTCATCAAGGAGTATCAGATGTGAAACAGCAGGAAGCTATTTAGGAAGCCAACTCAAAGAGTTCTTCCTACACAAGCATTCAGGTCTTGAGCAGTCCATGCAAACAAACAAAGCTTAAACTTGTTCTTCATAATCAATTAAAAACAACTCTAGCAGCCTATTACATTTTAAAAACAGCAGAAAATATTCATCTCAGTGTGATAGATATGCTTGCTTTGATCTGCTTAGCTCTTGGAAGTCCCCAAGGCTCCGGGCTGCTGGCCCCATGCTGCCCAGGGTCCCTAGGGACAGCTCTGTTCGCCATTAGGGAATTTCCCCCCTACCCCCCCAGAACCCCTTGTAACATTTTGGGAAGCCTCGGGGGTTCACGAACCCCAGTTTGGGAACCACTGCCTTAGAGGAACATGAACCTCTCACCTGAGTAACTCAGGGATTAAGATTTTACTTAAGATGCCTGATCTGGTTCTACTGAGCTTAAAACAACCATTGCCAATATGGGCACACCACCTGCTTCCTGCATGTCTCCCGTAGATATGGCTCCTCCAACCACACACTGACCTTCAAGTATGCCCCCACCGATAGGAGTATGAACACGTGGCTGGACAGCTGGTGTGCTGAGATTGCTGCCTTGTGCTCCCCTCTTTCCCCATTCCTTTGGCCACTCATCATATGCTAAACTCGTTAATTCTCTGGGCAGGGCCTATCTTTTTATTAGATGTATAAGAACATAAGAATGGCCGTACTGGGTCAGACCAAAGGTCCATCTAGCCCAGTATCCTGTCTACCGACAGTGACCAATGCCAGGTGCCCCAGAGGGAGTGAACCTAACAGGTAATGATCAAGTGATCTCACTCCTGCCATCCAGCTCCACCCTCTGACAAACAGAGGCTAGGGACACCATTCCTTACCCATCCTGGCTAATAGCCATTAATGGACTTACCCTCCATGAATTTATCTAGTTCTCTTTTAAACCCTGTTATAGTTCTTGCCTTCACAACCTCCTCAGGCAAGGAGTTCCACAGGTTGACTGTGCGCTGTGTGAAGAAGAACTTCCTTTTATTTGTTTTAAACCTGCTGCCCATTAATTTCATTTGGTGGCCCCTAGTTCTTATATTATGGGAACAAGTAAATAACTTTTCCTTATTCACTATCTCCACACCACTCATGATTTTATATACCTTTATCATATCACCCCTTAGTCTCCTCTTTACTAAGCTGAAAAGTCCTAGCCTCTTTAATCTCTCCTCATATGGGACCCGTTCCAAACCCCTAATAATTTTAGTTGCCCTTCTCTGAACCTTTTCTAATGCCGGTATATCTTTTTTGAGATGAGGAGACCACATCTTTACGCCGTATTCAAGATGTAGGTGTACCATGGATTTATATAAGGGCAATAAGATATTCTTCATCTTATTCTCTATCCCTTTTTAATGATTCCTAACATCCTGTTTGCTTTTTTGACTGCCGCTGCACACTGCGTGGACGTCTTCAGAGAACTATCCACGATGACTCCAAGATCTCTTTCCTGATTAGTTGTAGCTAAATTAGCCCCCATCATATTGTATGTATAGTTGGGGTTATTTTTTCCAATGTGCATTACTTTACATTTATCCACATGAAATTTCATTTGCCATTTTGTTGCCCAATCACTTAGTTTTGTGAGATCTTTTTGAAGTTCTCCACAATCTGCTTTGGTCTTAACTATCTTGAGCAGTTTAGTATCATCTGCAAACTTTGCCACCTCACTGTTTACCCCTTTCTCCAGATCATTTATGAATAAGTTGAATAGGATTGGTCCTAGGACTGACAATTGGGGAACACCACTAGTTACCCCTCTCCATTCTGAAAATTTGTGCACCTAGCACAACGGGTCCTGAACCGGATATCAGGGCCTCTATGTGTTATTGTAATAAAACAACAACAACAACATGTAGGCACAAAGGTTGGGGTCAAACCTCCTAAATCCTCCCAATCAGCCTGGCTTTGAGTTTGATCCAGTAGCATCTCCTTTCAGGCTTTTTCACACTTCCCCCAAATAGTCCATTGGCCACTTTCTTTTCACAAGCTCTTCCCCATTATATATGGGCATCCTGATGCTACTGCTTGGGCCATGTCCCATCAGCACAGATGTCATGAGACACAAGTATTTTGTAGAGCCAGTCAAAAAATTTCAGACAGGACAGAAAATGCTGATTCAAGCAAATTGAAATGTTTCCTCGGAATGTATCACTTTGTCACAATTTTTGATGAAAAATTACTGAAGGGTTTCATTTAAATAAGAATGAAGTGTTTTGCTTCTATTATATTGCATTATAATAGATAATAGATAAGTCTTCTATTATATTTTATAATATAATATGAGAAGTGATGCACTTCCGTAAGCTTGTTTCTGTATTTCCAAAATGGAATTGCAGCAATATTATTTTGTGAGAAATTCTGAATTCTTGTTTCCATGTGGCTGAAAGAAAATTTCAACAAGTCCGATCTGCCCAGGGCACAGAAATTCAGCATTTCCACCAGCTCTAGTTTTCTTCCAGCGATGCTTCCTGATCCTGTGGGCCTATGTGAATGCATCACTTGCAAATCAGCTGAGCCCAAACATTACAAGGAGATCTGACCATAAGAAAAACTGATTCCTTGAAACCTGCGACCTCAGACAGAGCTGGTTGTGCCATATATATCAGTATCCACATTACAATCGGAGTGTGGAAGGGGATATGCAGCTCCAGTAGACACAGACAGTATAAAGCAAACTACCTAGAGAAATTCACGCGTCTCTACATAAGTGCACATGCAATCCCATATTGTAAGTACAAACATACACGTATCATGTACATCCAGCCATCAACGTGCACAGACACAAAGTTCTATATTAATACATATGCTTCATACATGACCACGGACACCCTCTTTGCCCCGTGGCTCCGCGTACCTTCACGTAATCATATTCACACAGGTAGGACAGCTCCATGTTAAAGTGAGTGAAGTAGATCCGGATGGTGTATCCCTTGGGGACGCTGATATTCCAGGTTCTCTCCTTGCTGTTGGGGTACACGTTTGGGAAGTCTGGGGATGTGATCCTCCCATACATTTTCTGCAGTTGGATGTTGCTACCCACTCCATGGCAAAGGGCCGCCACGAGGAGGTACAGCCTGCCTCAAATGGAACACAGACAGTAACAAGGGGGGTGAACGTTAGCTCAGAGATCACACTCGCTACATACCGTGGGCACTAGGACATTAGTCAACATCTCTGCACCTGATGCTCCTCTCCTGTGTAAATGCTCTGGGTGTCAAAGGAGTGCTGCTGACATAAGACCCAGGAGAGGAGAACTGGGCTGCATCTCCTTCCATAAAAACAGGACAAAGAGCTAGAGAACCCAGGTTGCCTGAGAAGAGCCTCCTGGACTTCACTCACCTCATCCTTCCACTGCCCTGCCGGGAGCCTGCAGCAGCTTCTCCTGGTGTGCTTGCCTCTGAGGGGGAGTTTGCTTTGCTGTGTTTGTCTGGCTCTTGAACTCTGATGTTTATCTCCCTTTTCCCACTCAGCGGGCTGAGTTCTGGGAACAGCAGTTACAACAGAGCGAGCCTGAGCTCAATGCACAGGATCCGAGTCAACCCCGGCTCAAAGTGCAAAGCACAGCTGAAAGCGTAGCTGGATTCCAAACTTTTCAGCCCCCACCTCTCTGGAGGGATGAGCAATGGGCCTGGTATTTGTGCAGAGAGGCCGGGGAAGGGGAGAGGATGGGTGGGGATAGGTACAGGGTGGTTCAAGACTGTGTGTGCTAGGGCATGGTCAGGGTGTTTGGGAACATCATTCCCCCTGTTGCCAGCTGTAGTACATTACTAGAACCCTGGTCTCTTTCACAGCCTGAGCCCACGGAGCCAAGAAGGAACCGGATGGGAACCCGGGTCCCTTTGCTGATCCATTTTACCAGCAGCTTTGACGGAGGACGATCACAGAACACTGTAGGGCTAGTGCCCTAAAGAACGCTGTAACCAGACAGGAGGCACTCAGGTACTACGGTGATGAGGGCTCTCCGAGGACTGGGGTACACAGACCTATGGCTGAGGATGTTAATGGGCACAGAGTCTTTAAGCTCCCAGCTGCTGGCTCTAATCCAGCCCAAATCTGTTGTTCTGTGCTTTATGTGCACACCCAGCCTTTGCCATTGCGCTTCCATGCTGGAGCGCTGGGCTGATAGGGTTAAAAATCCAGCTGTGGAATTACACCCAGCTGTCCCATGCAGGGTGCCATGCCAAGCGGCAAAGGGAGACGGGGAGTCAGAGGAAAGATGGAGAGTTGGCCATGAAGAGAGATGCAGCGAGGCAGGAGCTGCACGGGAGAAGCTCCCCCCGCCTGGGATGAAATCCTCACCCACTGTTTTGCCTGTTTCCTTGCGAAGAGCCCTTCTCATTTCAGCACGTCTTGCGGCATCAGCCAGCCATTTGCGGCTCTAGCTTAACAGCATCATGCTGAGTAACTGCAGACCCTACAAAAGGACTCCTAACACCCATCCTCCTTCTCCACCCAGCCCCAAGCAAGCCCGAAGGCTGGGTGCACCCACCCCCCATCCCTGTAAGATGCAGCTATTTGCCAGTTGCCCAATTACTGACCCAGTTAAGGAAGGTTTGGGTAATTCTATGTGACAGGAGCCCATTGTGAATTCTGCCCAGCTGTCTCCCCACTCCCAGCCCCTTCCACGCTTGAGGGACCGAGGTAGCCCAGAGGGAAGAAGTCGCTTTCAAGAGGAAAGTGTGTGTGAAAGCCAAGGTCCAGGGAAGGGGCACCGCCTTCGAATCCATGTCTCCACAGCAGCAGACGTGGTGTGACATGAGAATGCCTGGGAGACCCCACGTGGGGACTGCAGCAGGCAAACATCTTCCCCAGATCCCCCCTGTGTTTGCTTTCCTGCTCCCCCTACCTCTCACCACAGCATGGCCTGTCAAGGAAAGGTCTCAGATCCCCTCTGGGGCAGCAGCTCGGATGCCGGCAGCTGAGCCGTGCCCATCAGTAAGTCAGTGCGAGCAGAGCGGTTCAGGCAGGGCCCAGCTAACGTGGCTTGCCAGCTAGGACGTCTACCAGCCAAAGGCCCCATCTGGAGTATCCCGGGAAGGCCAGGAAGCAGGGCATGGGAGGAAGGTGGTGCTGGAGAGCAGAGACAAGGCTGTGCTGGAAGGAAGTGAGTGGGGGTTGCACGGGAGACACACCCAGAGGGCTGTAGGTTTGACTTGCTGAGGTCTGCATGTTCCTCAAGCTCTGCCCCCTGCTGATTTGGGGGGCACCCGCTTTCCCCAAATATAAACCTCTCCTCCCATTTCCACAGGCCCCAAGCCTCTCCTTGCACCAAGGTGAGGTGAGCAAACAGGGTAAACCGATGTCATGCTTCAAGACGGTTTCTCTCTTCAATTAGTATTTGCCCTCCCCTTCGCCTTCTCCCTCCAGGTCACGATCTTCCGTGGCAATGGTCTCGCCTTCCAACTAATGCAGGATGCTACAGCGTGTCTCCGCAGCAACACTTCCTACCACGAGAGCATGTCACACCGGTTGTCTGCTCCCTACACTGGCTTCCATAGATAGAAAAGTAAGCCAAGTTCAAGGTCTCAGCTTGATCTTCAAGCCGCTCTGTGGCCTGGGCCCAAGGATGAAGACCGTGGTCAACCCCTCCGCCCCAGTGGAGTTCTCTGTAATAAGTGTAAAGCTCTTCTGTGGAGGAGACAGAACTTTCCTTGGGGGCTGGTCCGAGACCATGGAATGAACTACCCCCAAGAACCAAGGACCATCACTTTCACTCCAAGTGCCAGGCACATTTCTTTGACCTGCCTTCTCTAACATAAACCTACACAGACACACACACGCGCACACTCTAAAACAGAACACTCCACTGCTCACACTTCTCCTGCAGCGGAGAGAACAAACATGACAGATGGCAGTCACGTTGCTGAAAGCACTCAGATGTACTGCTTGCATCGCTGTAAGAACCCATATAGAATAGAATCTCTTTTCTCTTGCCTGTCTGTCTTCCCCTCTCCTGTTTCCCTTCACCTGTCTCTCAAAGAAGGAAATCACTCACATGGCCCCACGCCCTGGGTAGCTACACTGTGTCTGCCACATTGGCTCGGAGTCTGCCACTGCAGTGGAACAGCTGTTTCTCTCTGCAGAGAGAGTTTGGTTCGAGTTCAGATAAAGTAGGAGCCAGGCCTCTGTTGTAATACTGTCCTCTGCCTTCCTCTCTCAGATCAGAGGAGATATGCACGTTACAGGCACAAACAGCCTGTTTCCTAGATAATTATGGCTCAAAGCAATGGATAGGAACTAAGGAAAAGTTCATGTTACTCATACTCCCAGGACAAAATCCTAGAACAGTGAAGGGAACACGTGGTTAACGATAGGGGGGAGTGACCAGGGCAGGACACAGCTCCATTGCTAGTCTCCAATTCTTCTGCTAACAGAAAAGGGGGTGCAACAGTGATTCCTCACCACGCCAGCCTCATTTGGATCAGCACGCTGGTGCTGTTACAAGGTCACTGCAGTCTTGTTTAACAAGCAACCTGAACAAGCCAAGTCATTCTGCTCCTGGAACGGCCCCCAGGAACCGGGAGCGTCTTCCTCTGCAATAGTGGTTCGGGTTTGTACACTTCCCTGCTCCAGTCCTCCTTAGATAAGGCTCTATTCCTGTCCACATGAGCCATAGTTCCTACCCATCTTCAGCCCTATCCCCTTCCCATCCCAAACTCTGCAGAGTGCAGCTATAGCACCTTCTAGCTTACAGGTTCGAGTTGCCCTTGGGTGGAAACATCTGAATTACTGATCTCTGTCGCATCTTGTCCTTTGAAAACATAGCAAAGGGACCTAAAACCTGCCGAGATTGTGGGTCAATCTAGGAATATGGCTGCAGATCTCCAGCTCCTTCCACTTCCATCCTTTCTTCCTGAGCTTTTAAACTTCATCACTTCTCTCCCTCCACAGAAAAGTTAACACTCTGCAAAGTACCTTCTTCCCCTTCCAAATGAATTGCTGGCTAGCTACAGATCAGAGGAAACGCAGAATTAACTGGATCCTCTCCCCTATTCAGTGTGTAGCAACTCTTGCTGAAAAGCTACCATGTCCCAATAACCTACTGACCTCCAGCCTGCACCGGACTTCCTTATAACCTTGTGTAGCCAAATGCATTGCGCCCACACCTTGGCCCAACACCAAAAGGCCTTCCTCACCACTCCTCTTCCTCCAGAACTGGCCATGATCATCTCGGTGTTGTGCAAAAGAGGAGTTGTTAGCCCATTGATCCAGAATAACCAGCGGATCCAGCCGAAAGTGCTTCCAAAACTATTACTCAGATACTGTAATAATGGGAGCTACAGAAAAGTCCAAAGGGTGGCAACAGAGGTCCACACTAACCCCCCATTTCGAATTAAGGTATGCAAATTCAGCTACGTTAATAACATAGCTGAATTCGAAGTACCTTAGTTTGAACTTACCGCGGGTCCAGACGCAGCGAGCAGGCTCCCCCGTCGATGCCGTGTACTCCTCTCGCCGAGCTGGAGTACCGGTGTCGACGGCGAGCACTTCCGGGATCGATCCGGGATCGATTGCTTACCTCCGGGTCCGGTGGTAAGTGTAGACCTACCCAGAGACACTGGAATGGACAGACCTCCCTATGGCTGAATACCCTTACTGAATATCTGTAGTTCAGTTCCTGCTGCAGACAAAGTGGATTGAAGATGGTACCATGAACCGGCAGCATGAACCAAAATCTGCAGCATTCCAGAAAGAATTTATCTACCAGGCAGCCAGCCAGCCATGGAAAGAATAATGGAGAGAAAATGCATCTCCAATCCCATACCCAATGTGCGATATATTATACTTCTTGGCAAATCCAAACATACAGTCTTAGCAGTAGAGAGATTAAGCAAATAAAAAACAACAGCCCCATAATGGGGCTCAGTAGAATGCGACTTAATCAGAAGCATCTTGAATGAGGAGTGGACTTCTGTATTCAGGTATTCTTCGCTACTTGCCCTAAACCGTTTAACCACACACAGTAACATTACATAGCTGCTGTGTTCCTTCTGAGAGATGGCTGCATTTCAGGGGTGGGAGAAGTAATCCTGCCAAATAGGGTCACATTTTCAGATGTGGGTATCCTTTTGCTTATGTGCTCACTAGATTTACATGTACAAAAGCAGATCTGCATGTGGGATTGGCACATGCAGTTGGTGCATCCACACACACACTTTGCTAGTGCAGTTGTCGTGGCCTCATTTGAAATCTGGCTGACAATTTGTTGAAGCAACATCCGGAAGTGCTAGGATCCTTATTGACAAAACGTACTACAGATTGTATCAAAGGGGTGGCCGTGTTAGTCTGGATCTGTAAAAGCAGCAAAGAGTCCTGTGGCACCTTATAGACTAACAGACGTATAGGAGCAGGAGCTTTCGTGGGTGAATACCCACTTCTT